TATATGTTTTAATATATTTAACAATATATATTTTAAATTATATGAAAAAAGATATTTATTCAATTCAGTAATTAAGTGGACTGAATTATGTTAAAAATATTCATTATTTTTCTATGAAATTAATATAATATTGTTATAAAACAAATCTACACAAAGGGCACAAATAAATTGAGGGAAAAAATTATTTAATTTCAATATATTATACAAAATTTAATATTGAATATCAAACTTCAGAATTTTCAAATAAAAATATTAATCATTTTTGTTGAAAAAAAAATTTTTATTTAATATATTTTATACAAAATTAAATATTGAATATAAAACTTCACAATTGTCAAATAAAAATATTAATAATTTTTGTTGAAATAAAAAAAAATTTTTATTCGATATATTTTATACGAAATTAAATATTGAATATAAAACTTGAGAATTTTCAAATAATCGTCTCACGCAGTGGGGCATCATTGTTCTCAGCAAATTTCAACGGGAAGAAATATGGCACTTACGGCGATAAAGCGGAGATACGCGGCAGCGTGCAAATCGACCGAATTGTTCTTCCACGGTTTGCTTAGTTGGGGCTGATATCGTCGTGCTCGTGGTAGCAAATATTTGCGCACCTTTGGGTTCCACGAGCCTCGTTCAACGGTCTACAATCGTGTGCCCATGTTGTTGAAAATGATTGCAATACGTAAATGATTAAAATACTCAGTAGTGTGAAATTTTAATTACTAATGGATATTAATTATTAATCAATATTCAATGAAATTTGAGATATTTCTGTTAATGACCATTGTGGTAATTGTTATTGGAAGAATAAAGTGTCGTTTATGAAATTTTCAAAAACTCAAGAGTGTTAATTATGTATATAATTGCAATAATAAAAATTGCAATACATTTAATCTTACTTCCTCAAACATAGCGTCAGCGGATTGCTGGGATTGTGCTGATTAAAATGAGTACAAACACGACGTAAATCGGACCAGTTTCACCAACATACCGCAATTATCGAAACTAAAGGCTGGTTTTCATCAAACCCTAAAACTCCTCCGATACCCATCGTGTTTATACTCATTTTAATCAGCGAAATCTCAACAATCCATCGGTACTATTATTTCAAACGTAACACACACCGAATAAAACTTCAATTGCAACAATTTTAACCTTATCTTTTCAAACATAGTACCACTGAATTGCTGAGACTGTGCCGATTAAAACGAGCCTAAACACGTCGTAAGTCGGACCACTTTTACCAAAATACCGTAATTAACGAAACTAAAGGCTCGTTTCCATCAAATCCTAAAACTGCTCCGATACCCATCGTGTTTGTACTCATTTTAATCAGCGAAATCTCAACAATCCATCGGTACAATGATCTCCAACGCAACACACACCGAATAAAATTTCAATTGCAAAACGGTCGTTTCCGGTACACTACCGTTAACTCCAGCAAGCAAACGTCAAACCGACCGTCCCGTTCTCTTTGCCAGCTAACTGTTCACGACCTAACCTAACCGAGATCTTACGAGGAACAATTCGAACGATCATTTCCAACGAGCGCTTTCTTTTTCGAATTGAAATCGCGCGGGCAGGTTGTTAATGGCGCGATGACAGAGAACGGGCGCCAAAACTTTCGCCCGCGCGTCGTTCATTAAATACCTACGCCCGTTCTTATTTCGCTCGCTCCTCTCCGAGAAACGTTCGGTCACGCCAGTCTCTCGCCGACGCCGCGTGAATCCGTACGAGCATCGAGCTTCTGTCACGATGACAGCGCCACCGGTTCGGGAGGCTCTTACCTTTTACAATGGAGGATATTTTTCTTGACATTAAACTTGATTATTTTCTGATGAAATGTCAATGATACTTTTTTGTAACTAGTATATGGGAATTAGTAAGAAGAAGTTTTGAAAGTGACTTAATTGTTTGGGAATGACTTGAAGAAATTGATAAATTAATTAATTAATTAATGGAAATTTAATAATTAATTGCTAAGTATTTACTAATTGATTAACAAGTGTTCAATGATTAATTAATAGATATGTCATAATTAGTTAATAAGTATTCAATGATTAATTAATGGATATTTAATGACTAGTTAATAAGTATTCAATGATTAATTAATGGATATTTAATGACTAGTTAATAAGTATTCAATGATTAATTAATAGATATTTAATAATTAATTAATCAATGTTTAGTGAT